TGAGTAAGTATGGTGAAAGGATATAAACTTGACACACTACCTTCTTGATTTTTAACCATGCAGTATCCCCTTGTTCTGTTTGAATGACAGCCTCTTGATCTATGTACAGGTTCCTCATGAGTACAATTAAGTGTTCTGGAATTCTCATTGTTCTCAATGTTATCCACAGTTTGTCACAATCCACACAGTTGAAAGCTTTGGCATAATCAATAAAACATAAATAAACATCTTTCTGGTATTCTTTGCTTTCAGCTAAGATCCATCAGACATCAGCAATGATATCCCTTGTTCCAAGTCCTCTTCTGAATCCAGCTTGCATTTCTGGAAGCTCTCTGTCAATATACTTCTGCAACCATTTTTGAATTATCTTCAGTAAGATTTTATTTACATGTGATAATAATATTGTTCAATAATTCCCACATTCTGTGGGATCACCTTTCTTTGGAATGGGTACAAATATGGATCTCTTCCAGTCAATTGGCCAGGTAGCTGTCTTCCAAATCTCATCATAACTGAATGAGTGCCTCCAGTGGGGCATCGTTTGTTGAAACATCTCAGTGGGTATTCCATCAATTCCTGGAGCCTTGTTCTTCACCAATTCCTTCAGTGAAACTTCAACTTCTTCCTTAGATATCATTGGTTCTTGATCATATGCCACCTCCTGAAATGGATGAACATTTACCAATTCTTTTTGGTACAGTGACTGTGTATTCCTCCATCTTCTTTTGCTGTTTCCTGCATCATTCAATATTTTACCCATAAAATCTTTCAACATGGCAAATTGAGGGTTACATTTTTTCCTCAGTTCTTTCAGCTTGAGAAATGCCAAGTGTGTTCTTACTTTTTGCTTCTCTAACTCCAGCCAGGTCTTTGCACATTTCATTATAGTAACTAGCTTTGTCTTCTTGAGCTGCTCTTTGAAATCTTCTGTTCAGCTGTTTTATCTTATCATTTGTTTCACTGGCTTCAGCTACTCTACATGGGCAAATTTCAAAGTCTCTTCTGACATCTATATTGGTCTTTTCTTCCTTTCTTGTCTTTATAATGGCCTCTTGCTTTCTTGATGGATGATGTTCTTGATGTCATCCCACAATTCCTTTGGTTTTGGGTCATTGGTGTTCAATGCCTCAAATCTATTCTTACATGGTGTCTAAATTCAGGAAGAATATTATCAAGGTCATATTTTTGCTAATGTGGACTTGTTTTAATTGTCTTCAAGTTCAACTTGAACATACATATGAGTAGCTGATGGTCTATTCTACAATCAGCTCCTAGCCTTGTTTCAGCCAAAGATATTGAACTTCTCTATCACCTTTTGCCACAGATGTAGTCAGTCTGATTCCTGTGCATTCCATCTGGTGAAGTCCACATGCATAGTCATTGCTTATGTTGTTGAAAAAAGGTATTTGCAATTAATAAGTTGTTGGTCTTGCAAAATTCTATCTTGCGATCTCCAGTGTTATTTCTATCTCCAAGGCTGTGTTTTCCAACTATTGGTGACTCTTCTTTGTTTCCAATTTTTGCATTCCAGTCACCAGTGATAATCAACACATCTTGATTGCATGTTCAGTCAATTTCAGACTGCAGAAGTTGGTAGAAATCTTGGATATCCTCATTTTTGGCTTTGGTGGTTGGTGTGTAAATTTGAATAACAGTAGTATTAACTGGTCTTCCCTGTAGGTATATGAGTATTATCCTATCACTGACAACACTGTACTTTAAGACAGATCTTGATACAGTCTTTGTGACAATGAAAGCCACACTATTCTTCAATTTGTCATTCCCGGCATAGTAGATCATATGGTTGTCTGATTCAAAATGGCCAAAACCAGTCCATTTCAGCTCACTAAGGCCTGGGATATAGATCTTTATGCATTCCATTTAATTTTTGACAACTTCCAATTCTCCTAGATTCATATTTTGTACATTCCATGTTCCAATTATTAATGGATATTTGCATATGTTTCTGTACATTTTGAGTTGTGCCATATCAGCTAATAGAGGTACTGAAAGCTTTACTCTATCTATGTCATCACTTCTGCTCTCAGGAGTTAGCTCTTCCCCAGTCAAATCATGAGTGCCTTCCAACCTGATGGGCTCATCTCTCAGCACTATGTCAGACAAGAAGTCCTAAGGGAGTTCATTAGATAAAACATTGGAGAAATAGTATAGAAGAAAATGAAATGTGAAAAACATATTGACAGATTTTTTTTTTAAGTTGTGATTTGAGTGAAACTTTATACAGCAAATTAGTTTTCTATTCAACTATTTACATACATTTTGTTTAGTGACATCAGTTACAATTCCATCAATGTAACAGCATGTTTCCCACTTCCTCTCTGGATTCCCTGTATCCATTGATCCTTTTCTGCTATCCTTTCCTGTTTTCTAAGCTTTGTTTTTGGACAAATTCTGCCCTTATTATCTCTTATGGGTATGCACTCTGTGAAATATGTTCCTCACAATTATTATTGTTCACTTTATATTCTGTTATTTGGCTGAAAATTTATCCCAGGGGATGAGTTAAGTTCCAGGCTTGAAGGGTATCTAATGGCCACAGGGTCGAGGATTCCAGCAGACCCTATCAGACCAGTGTGGTCTTTTTTATGATTTTGAATATTCTACATCTTTCTTGGATTCTGTCTAGGACCTTCTGTGGAGATTGATAGATTTTTTTAAAAGTGGGTGTTAACACAGGAAAATAGAAACTGTGGGATATTTGATGTTTTGCAAGTGAGAGTGTTCAGAGTTACCTTTGCATTCTACATACCATTATTTAATTGAGTTCAGGAACTACCCTGGGACCACCTTGAAAACCAACAAACAATAGTAGGAAACTTACTTTGTTGGTTACCCAGGATAGGAAGGAAGGGGAGGGAAAGTCTCAGAATATTTGGGGGTTACATGTTGATTTGGATGAGGGGAGGAATGGTTTGGAAAGAGTCTGTGACCAGCATGGTGACACTGGGGAAAGGAAAGACACAAAAGGTATAGACAACAGAAGCAGATACTATTTGCATGCACAACACTGCAGTATCACTGGCACCAAATATCAGGTTATGGATTAATGCATAGACAGGTGGGATGATCACATGGGGGTAGGTGAATAGGAATACACCCTGGACCAGGGATTGATTTGGCTGGATATAATCTTACATATCCACTTGTGCTACAAAATTAGCCACATACATTACAGAAGCAACAGAAAACATGGTTGGAGTATTTCTCAGAGACAAGAGAGAGAGAGAATCACTGGGCCTGTGGACTTGGGACCATGGTCTCAGGGGACATCATTCTCAATTGGCACACATAGTTCACAAAAATTTTGTTCTACAACCTACTTTGATGAGTAGCAACTGGGGTTTAAAAGCTTTTGAGCAACGATCAAAGATGATACTATTGGTCTCCTCTCTTCTGGAGCAAAGAAGAGTGAAGAAAATCAAACTCATCTAGAAAACTTAGTCCAAAGATAAGATGGACCATGAGGATCTCAGCCTCCATGACCCCAAGACCAGAACTAGGTGTTGCCTGGCTACCAATGCCAACCACTTGGAAAGGGATCAAATCTGGAGATCCTGGATAGAGTGGGAGGAAAAATGTGGAACAAAATTCAAAAACACAAAAATGACCAGAATCGCTGGTCACAAGGAGAGTGGTGGAACCCCTGAGACTATGGCCCCAGGTTACCCTTTAGGCCTAGAGATAGACTCACTTACATGGATTGGCTCTTGGCCCAATAGTAGAAAGACATACATACAGAACACCTATCCCAGGTTGATGCACCCACTTACTCTAGGGAGATGCACCCCTTGGATCAATCAGGCATGAGACATCAGAGTGGTAGTACTCAAATAGAGGGAAAGCTGGACAAACAAGAATGCATAGATAAGAAGGGCACAGGAAGGGGGTGGTCACAGGGAGGAGAGAGGAGAACAGTTTTTATGGTTGGGGACAGTAATCAGGGAAATGAAATCAGATGTGTATGAACTGTTGAATGTAAAATAAGTTTTCTTTGTAAGTTTGCACCCAAACACAATTTTTTTAAAATTAATAAACAAAAATATAAACAACAACAAAAAATTTAACAAGCAAACAAACACACTTATTGCTGTCAAGTTGATTCTGACTTATGGTGACCTCATATATTACAGAATAGAACTGCTCCATGAGGTTTTCTTGGCTGTAATCATTTTGGAAGCAGATCATCAGCCCTTTCTTCCACAGCAGGATGGGTGGGTTTGAACAATCAACCTTTAGGTTAGTAGTTGAGCACAAACCATTTGAACTACCCAGGGACTTCATCTTACAAAAATGGAATTAATATCAACCTAAGGTGTCAATTTTATGGTATCATTCTTTGCTTAAATTCCTACTCCAAATTCAAGTAAAGAATTATTTGCAAAAGTTCTAGAGACAACCTAGGCCTTCCATCTATGTTACTCCACATTTCTCTTTAGGAATTGTGCTTAGAGTAAGTCTAGAAACCACTTACACTTTCATGCTAAATTCTTGAGATGATAAAGTAGGTGATATAGAACAGCATCCATCTACATGTTGTGTGATGAAGGAAATGATGCTACTTAACTAATGCCATCTCCCCTAGAGATAGAGTCTTAGGATCCTTTCCATGTAATTAGATTTCATCTCCAGAACTCAAGAGATAGAGTTGCAGGAGAATGTGTCATTACATGTAGGGCCAGGAACTTATTCAAGAGCAACACGTCAAGTTCATTTCTAATCTCACAAAGAAGTTTTCCCATCATTGTCAGTGATCTCTTGGCTGGAAAGTTTGAATTTTGCCTAAAGCTATGAACAAGGAATGACTTTAATTAAAGAAAAAGATAGTCAATAATTGTTGGTTTGACGTTTATAAGACAATAATTCTGGTAAAATCATATTCCATGAGAGAAATGGAGAGTTCTATGATGCTATTACCAGAAGCTGAGAATAAAATTAATTTAACTTGAAATAAATCTTTATGAAAGTTATAACAAACATACCGGGCAGCTTCTGAATATCTCTCCAGACATCTAAACACTGTTGCCTGACGAAGATGATTTCGGAAATAGGCTGGGTTTAAAGCAATGCTCCTGTTAAAAGATAAAAGAAATGCAAGTGTTATTAAGTTTTTAGAAGACAATTACCAGAAGTGTATAGGAATGAAATCACATGCATTCAATTTTATATATTATATATTTTAAAAGATATGAATGAATGAAACCCTTTCTTCTTGTAATTGCCAGTTAAGACAAACATGCATTATTGAAAAACTAATTAAGTCTGCAATATAAAAGTAATTTTTTTCATAGCATTGGATATTTTTTACAGATAAGGAAGGAAAAGGCTGGAAAGAATTTTAACCCAAGTATATTACATGTAAGCCATTTTGCTATTTCATTTGCTTATGTCTATAGATTAGGCAAAAATATGTTATTTACAGTATGTCTCCTATAATGAAGAATGGAGTTGTTGCTTTCTGAATTTTAGCTGTAAGGAAGGAACTGGAATTTGACTGTCATGTTCATTTGAATTCTATAATTAGGTTCTATGTCTTACCCTAGGTGGGTATTGTAGAGGAATTTGGGAAAGTCTGCTCTTCTTGGTGTTGCTATTTTTTATTTAGTCGTTTATTTATTCTGGGTCTCTGTTTTCTCTTGATTGTAATCACAAGGCTAGATTAGACTTTACAAGTTGTTTTCTTTTTTTTTTCCCAGCTCTAGAATTCTATGATCTTTGGCAAAATTAGGGTAATTATGACTTTATTGTTTTATGCAATTTTTGTATTTGCAGTTTCAGGAAATCTTACCCTTTGTATCCACTGGAACAGGAGTGACTCTTATCTTGTAGATGATTAATTCTTAACTGCTCTCTCTACCTTTTCCTCATCATGTCACAGGGTTCTGGAGTCTCCAGTCTAGAAGCCCAGTTGGGAAGAAGGTGATCACTCCCTTGCTGAATACTTCATAAGCTAGTAGACATGTCCCTTCTTTCCTTCATTGAGAGATTATTTCAGCTAGTTGCTGATCACAGCATTTGATATAATGAGGTGAACTTGACAGTTCATGCATCTTTACTGAATAAAGTGATGATCTTTCATGAAAGTTCCAAAGGAAGCTTATATTAACAGAAGGCATTTGATTTCTAACCAAATGGCTGGTGGTTCAAACCCACCAGCCACTCCTTGGAAGGAAGGTTGGGCATCTACTTCCATAGTGACACCGCCTTGGAAACCCAAGGAGGGGTCGCTATGAGTCGGGTCCAACTCAACGGCACACAACAACAACAACAATAACAATATTTTGAATATTATTGATGTGGAATACAGTGAGCTTGTTTTCACAAGTGATGAGAATCAACTGAAATAGTTCATAATTGAAGCCAATAGTTCTTAAACTGTTTTTGACAGCTTCACAGAGCTTTTAGAGGATCATATGAAAGCTATGTACCTCTGTCCAGAAAAATTGCACACAAAAAGTATTGCTCAAATTTAGAGAAATCACATGACCCCTTGGGTCACTGAATTTAATCACCAATGTTAAAAACAAAAACATACAAGCTAAAATAATTACATCATCAGAAAGAAGAAAATGGAAACAGAACATTTAGTTGGGCCATGTGGAATCATAGAATTCTAGGTATAAATAGGATAGATTATATCATTTAGTTCAACTCCTAAACTTTAAACATGGGAACAGAAACTAAAGAGGTTAAGGGAACTTTTTGAAATAATACACATTAGTTAGTTCAAGAGCTGTTTTAAGTTTGTCATGTTTCCCATCTTCAGCCACAGAGTTTGCATTACACCTTAAAAACTAAAGCAGTTGCCGAGTCAATTCTAACTCATCGTGACCCTGTGTATGTAAGCATAGAACAATGTTCCACAGGATTTTCAGTTCCTCTGATTTTTCTAAAGTAGATCACCAGGTCTTTTTTTTTTTTTTTTTTGAGAAGCTTCTGGGTGGGTTAGTACTACCAATATTCCAGTTAGTTGTTAAGTGCTTAACTGTTTGCTCCACCCAAGAAATTCATCTTATTTTCTCTCTATTGATGATTTCTGAATTAGAGCGGTCTGAGTTAATGAGGTTTTACTATATACTCTATGAATGAAGATTTATATAAATGAAAACATTAATGTTCTAAGAACACAGATCATTTGCTTTGGTGATTTCTGATTAAAATGTTAGAAACTTAAATACTATCACATGGATTCATTCAATATTCAGTTGTTGCTTCAGAAAATAAGTATGTTTACAAGACATCTTTTTATTGTTTATATTTCTAAAACTAACCCTGTAAAAGTAGATTAGAGTGATTAAGACCAGATCTCTGTCTAGGGCCTGGGTCTTCCAGGTCTTTGACCCATTTTTTTTTTTTGGTCTACTTCATAGCTAATCCTCCCTATTTATTTTGCAATAATTTATTTGCTTCTGCATGCTTAGCAAGTACCTACAGATGTGATGGGACAAACTCCTTACTGGATGGATATTTCCAGCTTTTATTGACCGTAATGTAGCGTTCTAGCTTTGCTGAGCTATTCTACAAGAAAAATCTTGCTGCATCAGGCAAGTTATTTTGGCAACAACAAAAAAATTGGACTGGAGGAAGGGTGGAGTGCGGTGGGCAGGAGAAGTGGTAAAGGAAGAATTTAGCAAAAGGGGTTGAGTTAATTTATATACAGAATCAAGAGGGAGGAAGAGGAGGAAAAGGCCTCAAAGTGGCTTGGGATGTAGGTGGAGGAGGAGATATTTTGTTGAGCGTGACGACTGGTGAGGTAGATGTTGTGGAAATTTTCAGTGTGTCTTTAAAAAAGGATATATCTATATATATTTTAAAAACATTGCTTGAGACTCATGGTGTTGATGAAATATAAGTGGAGGACAGGGGTTTGAAAATCACTATTTCTAGGCTGAACTGGGTTCTTTTAACCATTATAACACCCTGCACTGAATCATGTTAGTCCCAGTTTCATAAGAGAAACCCAAAAAAGACCCAGACATTGTCTGTATCCAAAGAAGTGGAGGTGTAATTGTGAAAGATATTTAGAAATTTGGAATAACATATTATATTTAGCAATCTATTATTCTCAACTCTCTCATAATTATTGCACCATGCACTGTGTTCTATAATATGCCTCTATTATGTATCTGTCAAGGCTGTGTTAGTGGTGGTTATAAAGCCTAGTTTTTACATTTTTATTATTTTATGTTTTTTAAAATGACATACTCACCTGTATCTTATGATGTGTACAACTTATAGAGGAAATACTGATTTGTCTTTCAAAAATGATTTAGTATTTCATGCCATTTTGGGGGTTGTGGGACTTAGTCTAGGGCCAAAATTGACAATCTGATTGGGGATATCATGGGGAAAAAAAAGACAATTATAATCAGAAAGAGAAGAACTCTGTGCTGATGGTCCGATGTTATCAGAGAGGAAAGAACTCTGATTTAGCTATTCTGATAAGGTTCTTGGTAAAAAACAGGAATCATGTTAGAAAGAATAGCTAGATTATGGAGTTAGTGTTACTAACAGACAATGATTGCTCAGTCCGTTGACTACCTCGACCTAAGAGAACGAGGTCATTAAAATACTGTATATTATAATAGATAAAAGTTTATTTTCTTTATCAATTTTTACATGTGGTAGATATTATGCATATACAAAAAAAAAAAACAACAACAACCAAACTCACTGTCATTGAGTTGATTCGACTCACAGCGACCTCTCCTTGGGTTTTTTAGGTGGTATCTCTATGGAAGTAAACTGCCCAACCTTCCTTCCGAGGAGTGGCTGGGGGGTTTGAACTGCCAGCCTTCTGATTAGCAGTCAAATGCCTTAGGCACTATGCCACCAGAGCTCCCATTATGCATATAGAATATATATATATATTTGTGTGTGTGTGGGGGGGGGTGCTTTAGCATTTATCTTTTACATCAAAGTTCACATAATTTTATTTTTGTGTGTGTGTGCACTGTGAGTGTTTGCTTATTTTATTAAACCTTAAGGTTGCAAGCATAAGAAAGATGGAAGAAGAAGAATTGAATTGTGATGTGTGTTTGAACTGTGATGTTGGAGAAGAGTACAAAAAATATGATGAACTGCCAGAAGAGGGAACAAATCTGTCTTGGGAGAAGTGCAGCTGGAATTCTCCTTAGAAGCGAGAGTGGCCAGACTTCATCTCACCTATTTTAGTCATATTGTCAGAAGGGACCTGTCCCTGGAGACAGATAACATGCTTAATAAAGTAGTAAGTCAGAGAAAAAAGGGAAGGCCTTTAATGAGATGGATTGACACAGTTGGTGTGACGACAGATTCAAGCATAACAAAGATTGCAAGGATAGTGCAGGTCTGAGAAGTTTTTCATTCTGTTGTACTTAGGATTGCTATGAGTTGGAGCTGACTCGTCCACAACTAACAACAAAGGTACAATGCTGTGAGGCCAGAATATAAGTAAATCTATGCTTATTTCAGTGATTATCTCAGCTCTCCCAATTTACTTGTCAAATAATTTATCCTTCTCTCATTTATTTGACAATCTTGTCTTTATTGTATACTAAATTCATATGCACACTTGATTTTATGGCTGGGTTTTTTAGTCCACGCTTTTCATATGTATATTCATGGGGCAAAACAAATGGTTATAACTATAATTATAAATATATTTTAATTTCTGGAGGGGAAGAACTGCTACACCTATCCTCATTGTGAATACATATATAAGCTAATATGGCATATTTATTCTGCCTGGTCAACATTAATATTTCTCTTCTTTTTTAAGTTGCAAAAAACATTTGGTGATTTTTTATTAAAATTGAACTAAAGATATTAGATTAATTTTAGGAAGAATAGATATTTTATACTAGTGTCTTCCCATGCACGTATGTGACATTTCTTTATTCAAGCATTATTCTTTGTTTTTCAGTAATATTTTAACCTTTCATCTTTTAAAAATTAGAGATATTATAAATTTCTTGTTAATCCTTAAGTTTTGAAACTATTTATGTGAATGTGTCTATGTGCTATATATTATGTGCTGAGTCATTTTTGACTCACACCAATGCCATGTGACAGAGTAGAATCGTCTCATAGA